TTCAGAAATAATTTACAATATAATCAAAAGTCCTCCTCATTCTACTTCTTGAAAGAATATTGAATTCATCAAGGAAGAGGGGGTTTTATTATAAACTTCATTTGCAAATTGAATGTGTGTACTTCTTCAACTGTAAACCAAGTGTCTGTGAAGACTATCTTTTCAATTCTGCTTCATATTAGAGGAAGATCCTTTCATTCTTTGTTCAATGTTTATTGAAGCAAGAGAATGTGCTTTGAATGGCAACTGAAATGGATTTTGTGAGGTCCTGCCATGTTTGTAATAAATTATATGTTTCAAAAGAAATGGATAATGTGAAAGATCTTCAGAAAGTTTTATTTTGTAATAAAAGAGACATTGACATCACATACTTTCCAGCCAGGCTCTATAATGATGAGTAAAACTTATGGGAAACATTTCTTGCTTTCAAAGAGCTTTCATATCCATTTAAATGCATCAGCAATATGAGAAGTTTCCAAATATCTGATCAAGAAATGAGAAAATGAAATGTGCGAATTTATAGAAAAACTCATGAAACATTGGAATAATTGATATGCATTCAAAATTCCAATATTAATTGATAGAAAACCCAATTATTTCAGCATAAGGCCTGGGCAGTGTTTTCCAGTGATCCCGGTGGATGTTGCCCTGACTTTATAGGGCCTCCACCATGAAGAAACCTTTGTGGCTTCTGACTTTATTCCTTGTGACATCTGTGTGTAAGTAGTCACAGTTCTTGTCCAGATATTCCACATTCAAGCTTTCATGAGATGTATATTTTGATGCAGGTGTGCTTGGCCAGAATCCCAGGTTTGGATTTGATGGTGAGTTTTTGGATCCCAGTCAAGAAATAGACATTGAATTTGTTCATAACACCTAAAAAAATTTCTTTCAGGAAACAATTTTATGCTTGATCTCAAATTTGATATATGGATATTCTTTGCATCATTTTGGTTTTTTCCCATAAGTTACTCATATTTTGCATTAATCAAAGACAGATTGTGGTTTCAAAAGTGACTCTATATAATGGGTGTGAGCTTGTGCTTAGTTCAATATCAGTTTGATGAACTGCAAACACTCCACTGCTATTCAAATTTTTGGTTACTCACATGTATACAAGGTATCCTTTCAGATTTATAGGATTTTGTGGAAATTCATAAAAAGCTTGAAAACATTCTGAGGTGCCTTGAGAAGATTGAATATTATGTCCAGTTACAGTGTGTGAATGAATTTTTTGTCTGAATGATGATGTGATTGACAGATATAGGCTAGTTGAAATCTCACTTGCAGCAACACCTGATGGCAATTCTACATCCTTTGTTCACATTCTCAAACAGTCCCATGTGTTTCTTGTTTAAAAAAAAAAGATTACAATGGAGTGTTTGGAGAAGTTGCTGGTCCATGTGCTGACTACAAGCCCGGAGAAGATGACCTTCAGGCATTTGACTTCATCAGGAAGTTCAACCTGGATGTTATGGAGAGGGAACATCCAGGGGTAACAAAAGTCAGGGGTTCTAACAAGATACAGTCAGCATACAGGCTCAGTAAAGATGCAGATTTGAACTTGCCCACTAGGTAAATTAATTGAATCTTTCAAGTAAAATATTACGAAAAATGTTGTATACTATTTTTCCTTGCAGGAGTATTTTTCCTCTTGGGCTGCCAGACAAGTTCAGCTTCATTGCCACATTCAGACAAAGGAAGGTGTCAAGAGTAAGCTGGGATATCATCAGGATGGTTGACATGCAAGGAAACCCCCAGTTTGCAGTCACTCTTGCGCCCAGGGACAATGCTGTGCAGTTTTCCATCATGAGCATTGAGGGGAACCTCATGACAGTGTCTTTCCCAGAAATCAAGGTTTATTTTCAAATTTTGTATTGGAAAATGTATTGTGTACACCAACAGTGTCACACCCCTCCTCAGGTTTTTGATGAAAAATGGCACAAGCTGCATTTTGGCATATTCAGGGATGTGAACACAAGGATTGTATTGTATTCAGACTGTCAAGAAGTTGGGTCTCAAGTCCTGGATTTGCCCATTGGACCCATTGATGTCAATGGGAGAACCCTTATTTCAAAAACTCAGGGTCAAAGAGACAGGACAGTCTTGGTAATTATAGAACAGGAGATGCCCAACCATCATTTGTTTCAATA